TGTTGACACACCGTTTTTGACTAAGGGTGCAGAGTTCTATGGGAATAATAACGATCATTACTTGTTCCTAGTAATAGTGAGAAAAAGCTACCAGGATTTTAAAATTTCACTTTAATTTGATACTTCAGTATTAATCTCAAAGCTGAATTTTCAAAAGATGCAAGGCCATGTGAATGAGAAAAGACACTAGGAATTTTTCTTTTCTTTTTTTAGGCAGTTGGGGTTAAGTGACTTGCCAGTGGTCACACAGCTAGTAAATGTCAAGTGTGTGGTCTGAGGCTGGATTTGAACTCAGGTCCTGTATCCACTGTGCCACCTAGCTGCCCCTGACACTAGGAATTTCATAAAATCACTGAGACTAATCTTGAGGGGCTTTTTTGGGTTTTTTTTTTCCTCTTAATATGGGACTTAATTTTGAAATGCTTCAGTCCTTGTTATGACATTTTTCAACCAAAGGCAAATACTTACATGCAATTGTTTCTTTTGCAGTGATCGTAAATCTTCGGGTAAAATAGGTATTGACAGCAACAGCAGAGGAGGCTGTGTACTGCAGTCCCCAGGTTGGAAGAAGGGAGCAGGTCTGGGATATGGTCAATCAGGCCTGGCCTCAGCAGAAGAGGTAAAATGATTTTTATCTTGTATTTATCCTTAGCTCTCTTTAAAACCTCTATGATCAAATGGTCTTAATCTCTGCTTCTTCTAACAGTGTTTTGGACCGGTTGACATAGGGAGTGATTGGAGAGAGGATTATCCAATTTGTTTTTAGGAAACAGTATTTCCCAGAGTATGATCTGACATAAAGCTGGAACAGAAGGGATAGATAGGGCCAAGGATGACATGGAAAAGGGACCACTCAGTGATGAGGGGAAAGGAGCATGAACTAGATGTTTTTTCGAATGAAATGGTGGAGAAACACTAGACATAAAGGGAAGCAAAGTGGGGATGAGAACTGGGAAGGAGCCTTAAGAAGAATTCTGTGTCAGGATACTTTTTTAATTAATTTTTTTTACTCTGAAAGTAACAAAGCACCAAATGTTCATTCCCATATACAAAGTAGAACAGAAAGAAGATTGTACATGAAATCACAAATCTCTATTTTCATATAGCTTGCCTTTCCTTTTAAGTATATAGTAAATGCAACATGTAACTTTCAAAACTATACTTGCATAGCACAGTTCTGAAAGCTACAATTTGAGAAGCACTACAGTAGCATCATACCATATTTTATCCACAAGCTGACGCCATCCTTCATTGGATGGGCTAGCTAAAGATGTTTTGATGAGTTGGGGAATTTGGATTTTTTCTATGTATAGTAAGACTTGTTCTACTGAAATTTAGACTCTTTTTTCTCTGGGTCTTTTTTGGGGTATTTCTTGGCATAGCCTCCTTGGTGCACACAACTCTACCTTTATCTCATTTCTTGCTATGTTAAAACACCTTTGGCCCAGAATGTCCTATACCCTCCAGAAAATTCTGTGGCCAAGTGCAGCCCTGATAACTAGCTGTCTTACAGTCATTTCTTTTCTCTCCCTTTGTTTTTCAGACTGAAGGCTGGACAAGGGGGCCTGGTGTTGGATCACAAGGGAAACCTAGCAAGAGGCAGTCAAATGAGACGTACCGAGATGCTGTGAGGAGAGTCATGTTTGCTCGATATAAGGAACTTGAGTAAAGGATTGAGATGAGTCCCACAGGGTGCAACCTTCTTTTGTCTGTCTGTCTGTCTGTCTCTCCTTTTGTTTTGTTACTGTTCTTGCTGCTAGAACTTTTTTTAAATAAAATTTTTTTCCATGTGGTGATGAATATATAAATATTTTTTTAATCTGCTATGCCTTTATCGATCCTTCCCCCTTCCCTCAAACTACCTGATGTTTTTTAGAATCAAGGTGAGCTCCTTTAGAATCAGATTTTTTTTAAACTGGTTCATGCTTCAGAAATGGTTAGCCATACCTTTGGAACTAGTTGCCACAATGATCCAGTATCATGGGGAAGTGAGTCTGTCATATAAGAAGTCTGTGTCCTGGACAAATCACTTACAACTTCTCAGTATCCCTAGGCACCTCTCCAAGAGGAAGATTACAGACATTAGTAGAGGGAGTTGACTCAATGGGGATTCATATACTTATGAAATCACGGGTTTGATTTAAAGGAACAACAACTCTGTGCTTCAGATGTTTCCCTCCATTAAATTTCACAGCTCTATATGTGAAAGGTGATTGTGATTTCTTATTACCTTATTTTTTTTCCTACCTGTGCCTGAGTAGTTCCTGTTGTTTCTGAGGAACTGAACTGGTTTTGTCCAGTGCTGGCTAAGTTGTTATTTAGTTTTATAATAGCCCTTTAACCAGGTATGCCTGATACTGATGGGTGGATTCTTCATGTGCTGTTGTTAATTTCTATAGTAGCCTAGACTTCTCTTTCAGGATAAATAGCACCTTTCTTAACTCAGATTAGCAGTTATACAGCATAGTGAACCACCACCATTAATAGCAGAGAAATTGCCCTTTGAGAGGGCCCATGTAGTTAGCTCTATGATCTTAAAATTCCAACACTAACTTTGTTGGCTGAAGTAAGGTCTGAATGACTAGGAGTGATGGGAGGGAAAGCTTACTGATTAAAGGCAACTATTCTTTCCATTTTGAAAAAAATGGAAATTGGAAAAGGGTAGCATATATCTCTAGCTAGTGTTTTTAGTAAATTAAAGGTAATGGCCATGTACTTTGGACCTCCCTTCCCAAAGAATCTAATACCCTTAATATATACTTGTTAAATTGAATAGAATTTTCATAGTAAATTGACCTACCTTAGTTAATCACATCCTTAGTTAAATCCATCATTGAAGCAAGTATCACATTAGAGTGTTGATAACTTCTTTCACAAATGGTGGCTTCTTGATTTATTTAACTTTGAGAATTTGGCAGCATTTCCTCCCCAGCATTACCAGTGCCATTTGCAACATATAGGATATTATTAGTATCCAGAGAGGATTAGGAAAAATAACCCCTACCTTTGACAATGCTGACTTCCTTTTCTTGAGAACAGAAGTTTTAGTTTTGAAAATGAATTTGTGCCATCTCTACTACTTATTAACTTCTGTGATCTTTGGTAAATTTCTGCCCCTGTTTACTCTTAGTTCCCATTCTCTTTTGCTCCAGGAACATGAAGGAGTTGGATTAGGTGATCTCTCAATTCCTTTCCATCTCTAAATCCTATGAACTTCAAGTCTTTCAACTATTATAATAGTGTAACTAGAGCGGCCAAACTAAGCATCTAGTGCAAAGATTTATATCAAGAACTCAGGAAGTATTTGAATTAAATTTGGGAAACACCACCGTACAAAGCATTAGTCTTGATCATTGGCTCTGATTTATCATCTGTTAAGAGTATAAGATCCTACGGACAGGGCCTGTCTTATTCAGCTCTCTCAGCACCTAGCTGGGGGCCTTATAAGCAGTGGAGCCCTTAATATAATTGAATGAAGTAATCAATAAAAAGTTGGAAGTTCTAGATTGTTGATATATATATATGCTTTCAACAACTATTTGGGCACTGATTGTGTATAAATAATGCACTAGCCACTATGTAAAATATGAAATATCACATGCAGTTTCTGGGAACTGTTACTTCTAAACCTATCCACGCCACAGTTGGGAAGGGTTTTTAAGATGCCATTCCATCCAAGCCACCATTTGTGAAAGAAGTTATCAACACTCTAATGTGATACTTGCTTCAATGATGGGCTTAACTTAAGGATGTGATTAACTAAGTAAGGTAGGTCATCCTAAAATTTGGAAGTGATGAAGGATAAAATCTCCATTCTCCTCAGGTCACCACCTGCATACTCTTGTAGGATATTCAAATCCAAGGTGTTTCCTCTGCAGTTCGATGCCAACATTTCTTCATTTGCAGATGGAAATTATGTATGATCCATTTTTTTGTGGACTGCAACTTTCTCTTCTCTCTTACCCCTTGATCATTCTCAGAAGGGGCTGTTGGAAGTAGTAAACAACTAAGTTTTGCCATCATTGGGTATTACTTACAGAATAAGCCTAAATCAGAATATTCATGAAAAGTATAAGATAATGCCAAAGGCAGAGGCTTTGCCACCAACTGCAGCAGTGACATAGAACAATGGATTTAAGAGTGAGGACATAAGTGTTTCCCACTCCCAGTCTTGTGGGAATTGCCTGTGTGATCTTGTGTAGCATAATCAGTTAGTGATAAAAGCACTGGATTTGGACTCAGAACTGGAGATAGTCTCAGAGAAAAGGCACTAAGATTGTGGAAGACTGGGAAAAGGCTCTTGCAGAAGGTGGGATCTGAGTTGGGCCCTGAAGGAGGCCAGGAGACAGAGAAAGCAAGTGGAGCCCCTAAGACCAAGTGTGTGATCAGAAGATTTGGGCTGTCCTTGACTTCCATACTTCACAGGGTTATAAAGATCAGATTATAAGGGATGTAGTAAAGCTGTGTAGTTGATTTCACCAAAGAAAGGAATAAAACTTAGTTGTGTTAAGAAGAGAGCTCTCTCCTCAAGAGTAGGTCCAGTAAGGCACATTTAGTGGAAAAGGCACTGGATTTGGAGTCCTTGGACCTGGGTTTGTCTGCTTGTTACCTATGTGACTCTAGGCCCTCACTGGCCATCCAATGGAATCCCCAATATAATATATCCAAAAAGTGGTGGGCCAGTCTCGGAAGACCACCGACTCATTCAACCCCTCTTGGCCTAGTATTAGACCTTCAGTAATGTCCCTCTGCGCTAGGGATGATCCAATCATGGGAGGATTTTTAAGTTCCTTCCTGACTGCCTGTAGTCTCCAATGCGAGTAAATGGGTACTTTCCTCTACAAAGAAAGGAAAGTGCGTAGGCGATTAACAAGGAAAAAGGAGCCCTTGTAGTCGAAACCACACCTCCCAGCAGCCACTGCGCAGCGTTACAGGGCGGGAGAGAGCGCGTCGCGCATGCGCGTCCAGTGGAAGCTTCCAGCAGGCGGCGGCCAGCAGAGCGGGGCGAGGAGCAGTGTGGGTAGGAGACGGCGGTGGAAGGAGTCGCCATTTTGTTCAGGTTCCGGACTGTCGCTGGAGCCTCTGGGACGCCGAGCCGCAAGGGCTGCCTCGCCGAGTACGGTTAGGGGTGAGTGCGCCGGCTCGTTCGTGCTCTCCCCAGGAACTCTGTCGTTGATCCCAACCGCCTTTCGGTGAGCTCTCTTGTCCCGCGTCAGCCATCTCTCCAGTTCTCATCTGTCAGCCCCAGGAAGCGGCGGGGGCAGGGCGCCGGGCCCCTGAGAGCGACCCTCGGGCCCCCTCAGACGCCTCTGAGGCCAGCCGGGCCGCGGTTCCTCCTCCGTCCCTTCCCTGTCGTCTTGCTTCTTCCCCCTCGGGCCTTGGCCCTGCGCGGTGTTCGCCCCTGCAGTCGGTCCCTGGTTTCGGTCCGATCCCGGCTCGCCCTTGCCTGGGCCTCCGGCGTCCGGGCCGCCCTTCCTCGGCCTGCGGACGGCAAGGCAGCAGCAGGGCGTCCCCGGGCTGCCTGCGTCTTCTCCTCCGGACGTGGGCCCGGCCGCCATTAGTCCGACCTCCCCGCTCCGAGCTGGGCCTTCGGACCGGAGGAGCTGCGGCTGCCGGCCTTGATAGTCCTGAAGGCCCCCGAGGGTTTTCCCGTGCGCCTGGGAGGAGGGGTCCCCAACCCGATGCCTTGCCCCGGCTGTTAGCAAAGCGCGCGTCCAGGGCGTATGTGGGGCCCCGGTGGCGCCCACTGGCCGGGGGTCGAGGGGGCTGGCCCGGCTCGGCCCTCGGGGACCTGGGTTGTCGTCCTGGGCGTCGATTGTGATGGGCCGCCGGTTCTACGCCAGCGCTCCGAGAATTCGCAGCTACGCAGACTGCGGCTTTTCCTCTCGGGCTGGGTATGCTGAAGCAGTCCGGTATTTATTTTCTTTCCAGACTTAGGGTTTCTACTCTGAACATCCTGAAAGGTTCACCCAAAGAATTAGATTGCATCAAATGCTTATTTTCTGAGTCTCGGTAGATTGAAGTAGCATTGAAGCAATCTGTAACCATTCTTAGTTTTCTGAAAGCAAAAGTGTAAAAGACTTGGAGCCTTTATCCGTTTTTCTTAGTGGATTCCGTAAGGTTTTTAGTTAACACCTGAAAACCTCCTGGCTTTCGTGCAGATCTTTGTTGATAGAGCTAACTCGAAGAAGGTTGTGTTGGCTTTCAGACCATTTCAAGCCTGGTTTCAAAAATGGAATGAGGTTACTGGTGCATTTCTGCCTTATCTCAAATAATGAGAAAGTAGGCAAGATCAAGCAAGTATTTTTCTATCCGAATCCTAAAATTCAATTTTATGGTGGGTGAGCACATGATCCTAGTTGTTTGCAAAGTCTTCTGTGCAACATAAGTTTGCATTAATCTCTTTCTCTTGCCTTCTTGAACAGACACTTGGCCGTTTGGAGCTGTGTACTAGCACTTTTAACAGGACTATGGGTTCAGACAAACGGTATGTTGTAACTTACATGATGTTGAAAGTAATTCTTGCCCTGGATTGAGCCATATGTTTTAGTTCTTAAGCTTTGGGTTTGTTTCAAAATTCATTGTTAATGACCACTTTTAAAAGATCTCATTGAGTTGTAAAATATTTTTCATTTGTGAATCTGTTAACCATTGTTTTTACATTTTAGTGGTCTTCAAAGATACTTGTTTTCCCTCTAACCTATCCTATCTTACTCTGTCCCCTTTCTTCCTTCACCTGTTAAATTAACTGAGATAAAGGTGAGCAGAGATGGTTACTGTTTCTATTACTAAGTCAGTGGATCCTAACTTGTTTTGATTTATCCCAAGGAGTCTCAGGATGTTATTATAATCAGAATTATTTGTAGTTCAGTTTTATTTTTAAAATCAATATGCCATTAAAGAATTCTTGGGAGAAAGTGTCAAATGACAGTATCGTGTTACAACTTCCAAAAAGTTTTGGGGTCCTTCCATCAAGTGGATCAGTTATAGTATTAGAGACAAGAGTGAATGTGTATATATGTATGCATACATAGACTTACTCACTTTTCACTACTAAAATCTAAGCTACTGGATGGCAGGGACTGTTGTCTTTTTAATCTTAGTGACATGTACACACCTGTCACTGTGACAGTGAGGCAGTGAAATGGTCAACTTGGAGTTGCAGGACCTGAGCTGAAATCTTCATTCTGTTACTTCGGGAAGTTCACCTTCTTGGACATCATTTTCCTCCTTTAAAAATTGGGGGAATTAGAATAGATAATCTCTAAGGTCCTTTCTAGCTTTAAATCTTGTAAACAGGAGAGCCCATAGGAAAACACAGGGTGAAAATGAGAAAGGAGAGGGTTCTTAAATGAGATACTAAAGATTAGCTATACACTAGAGCGTGAGAAAATAGAGGAAAGACATAAAAATCTAAAAGAAGAAAAGAATGTAGGATCATTAGGCACATAATTAGGCTAATAATTTGCTTGGTTGCTTCCACTACATATGTATGTTACTGTCTCCATCCCTCTTTGTTTTTAACTTCATCTTTCTAATTACTAACCTTTTTAAGATAGGGGGCTCATCACAGACTCGTCAAATTGGTGGCCTGAAAAAAGAACCAGGAATTATGAATACCATAATTTCATTCTAGAATCTAGGATGAGGGTTCTTAAACTTTTGTGTCATGGGCCCCTTTTCAGAATAATGTTTTCAAATATTTGAAGGCAATGTTAAATTTCAATTAGGAGGTTAGTGAAAATAAAGATGTAACTTTTTTCTTTTCCTTGTTCATGGACTCCCCCCCCCCGAAATTTATCCATGGACAAATCCCCGTTTTGGGGATAGCATTTTGTGGTTTTTAAGTAAGAGTATCCTCTTTTACCACTTGCTTTTCCACCTCATATTCCCTAGCCCAGTCAGCCCCCACAATGCCTCCTCTCTTTACACTTGACCAGGAATCATGAGGTAAGCTAACACAAGTTGGTAAGCATCACAGTCCTAATGGGATGTCCTAATCATATGTCAAATCCTTGCACAGATATTTTCACTATTAGCGTCGTGTGTCATTAAGCAGCTATTGGCTTTCTCAAGTTGATGAAATTGCTACATCCTCTCATTTGCTTAGTTGGATCCTTGTCCTCAAATTTGTACTTTAGCTTTTCAAAAAACCCAATTGCTGTATAACATGGAAGATAATTTCTGAAAACAGTAATAATTAACATTGAAGGCTTACCAAAAAGTACTTTACGTACATTATTTCATCTCATAACAACCTGTAAGGTAACATGCTACAGGGAAAAAGAACACTGAATTTGGATGTGGAAAACCTTGATTCAGATATTCTATGGGCAAGTCATTTCATCCCTATGGGTCTCAGTTTCCTCATCTGTAAAATGAGGTGTTTGGACTGGTTGATTTCTAAAATCCCTTCTGATCTAAATCTTATCCTTTGGGGCAAGTGCTTCAAATTCCCATTTTACAGATTAGGAAACAATCTCAAGAAAGAAGTTAAATGACTTATCCATAGTCACATAGCTAGTAAATGACATAAATAATTCAAATCCAGGTCCCTCTTGATACCAAGTCCAGAACTTTTTGCTACTGTACCACACTGAGATCTAGGATTAAGATAAGCATTTTTTCCCCAAAATATATATATATGAAGCCCAGTTGTAGACTAACAAATGTAGACCAGTATATGCTGCACTGTATGAAATGATAACTTTCTTTTACTGGCTCACTAGTGGTCATATAGTTGACTTGACAAATTAGAATTAATTACTTGACTAGATTGAAAAATAATTATTTTGAGGAGCCTTTAAGTGCATGCATGACCTGTATGGGTACTCTTGTAAGAAAGACTATTAATCACAAATTAAGAGAAAATCTTTCAAAATTAAATGAAATTCAAATTATTCTGTCTTTATTATTCTCTTTACCCTTCACCCTGATCTGTGGTTAGTGAAGAAAGGTAGAATTGGATTGAAATGGATTCATAAAAAGCTTCCACTCTTTGGCTTGGTGAGAAATGAAAAGCCAACATAAAAGAGATTATAGAAACGGGGGAAAGGAACAAGCATTTATTGAACATCTGTGTATCAGTTACTATGCTAAATGCTTTAGAAATATCTTATTTGATCCTCACAACAACCTTGTAAAGTATTATTATCCCCATTTTACAGTTGAGGAAACTCAGGCAGACAGCAGTTAAGTGTCTTACTCCAAGGTCTGAGGATAGGTTTGAATTCAGGTTTTCTTTACTTCAGGCCCAGCAGCTCTATCCCCTGTGCTACCTAGCTGCTGTTAATTGATATAAACTTGCAGCAGCTGAGTCCTGGGGATTGACTAGAAATATTTCCTATTCTAGCATTTCTACTGATAATTTGTAGAAATTGATTTAGGTTGCATTTAACCATTTCAAATTCATCATCCAAATTGGTCGTTATGCTCGGGAAGTTGTTGATGATTATTTAAATCCCTTCCTAAATAGCACTTTAACGTAACTGACTTGTGTCAAACAACTGGCTGTCCCCCATGCCTGGAATGCTCTCCCTCCCCTTCTCCACCTCTTAGCTTTCCTGACTTCCTTCAAGTCCCAGCTGAAATCACACCTTCTGCAGGAAATCTTTTCCAATCCCCTTAATTCCAGTGTCTTCCATTTGTTTATTATTTCCAGTTTATCCTTTTCTTAGCTTGTTTGTACAGAGTTGTTTACATGTTGTCTTCCCCCATTAGACTATGCTTCTTGAGAGCAGGGACTGCTTTTTTTCCTTTCTTTGTATCCCCATCACTTAGCACAGTTTCTGGCACATAGTGAATGCTTAATAAATGTTTATTGACTGCCTGATTTGACATTAGTAATAGCTGTTAACAGCATACGTAGTCTATCTTTTTTCTTTAAAATAGAGAACCAAGTAATTGAGTGATGTTCAGGAAGATAAAAGCCATCCTTGGTGTCATGAATAGCACTGTAAGATGGACTTCTAGTATGTCTTAGAAATGCTGCATGGGTGGTCAGGGGTGAGATCATTTGGTTTTCTTTTGAAACAGTAGGGCAGAGTTCCCAGACACCTTTGTGTTGGGGAAAGGCCATTCCTGACAACTTACCACAGATGAATACTCATACATTCACCAGCTTTTCATGCCCCACCAATATTAGGTCCCTTAACACTTGGCCCAGGAAGTTCATGTTGCTAAACTTATAAACATGGAGTTCAAATAATTGTTGGTTATCTTTGCATTTTGGAGAGGAGCTATTTCCCCAAGTGGTTATCCTTGGGAACTGAGAAAGTTGAAGCTTACAATTAAAATCAAGCATTACGTTAAACTGCTGGATATATTGTACCATAAATTGAGGTTAATGTTTTCTGTAGGAAGGACATGTAATTATCTTTAATTTAAATGAACATTCTTTATCTTGCAGAGTCAGTAGAACAGAGCGTAGTGGAAGATATGGTTCCATCATAGATCGGGATGATCGAGATGAACGTGAATCCAGAAGCCGACGAAGGGATTCAGACTATAAAAGATCTAGTGATGATCGCAGGAATGACAGATATGATGACTATAGAGATTATGACAGTCCAGAGGTAAATGAATGGTGCATGGGTTTATAAAATTGTCTTAACTATAACAGTTAGGGTTCCTATAGCACTTTAAGGTTTGCATAGTACTTCATGTTATCTTATTTGATCTCACAACAACCCTGTGAGATAGGTGCTAGTTCCTATTTTACGCATAAGGAAATAGGATGAGAGATTGAGAGACTTGCCTGAAGTTGCACATCTAGTAAGTGCCCGAGACAGAATTCCAAGTTCTGATCTTCCTGACTCCAAATCTAACACACTATTGAGTGTACTGTCTAGCTGCCCTTAATTTACTATGTGTGAAAATACTTGCTTAATTTTTGTAAGCTGAGATGATTAAATGGAGAAATATACAAAATGTTTTTTTTAGGTGCTCCATAGAGAATTTATGTGCTGTGTAGGTGATTATTTAATGCTTTAGTTGCTGTAGCCTTTCATCAACTTCCATTTCTTTTGAATTTTATATTCAGCCTCTGTATTCTTTAAATATATTTGGATTTATTTTAATCTGCAAAGATAATTTATTGAATCTGTGCAGCATTGTAGGAAGTATGGAAAATTCCACTTAAATTGTGTTGAAATAAATAAACGTTTAATGAGGTGGATTTCAGTTCTTTGTGAGGTCCCAATTCAACACACTGTACTGTGTCTTGAGAGAAAATAACTAGTGTCTGTTGGTGGTTGGCTAGGTGCTCACTGACACAGAATATGGAACCCAGGATGCCCTCATTTTCCAGAAATCTTTTTGAAAGGATAATTTATGGTCTTCAGTGTCTGCCTAATTACTGTTCTTAGTGATGGGAAACTGTGACCACACCCCCCCCCCCCGACATGTACACCCTTTCCCTTTAGAGTGAAAAAGCTCAGTCCAAAATATGAAGTTTTCATTGCAGTTTTGTTTTTTGTCCATCAGAGGGAACGCGAGAGAAGGAATAGTGACAGATCAGAAGATGGTTACCATTCTGACGGTGACTATGGAGAACATGACTACAGGAATGATATTAATGATGAATGGGAGAGTAAGACAATCATGTTGCGTGGACTTCCTATTACTGTTACAGAGAATGATGTAAGTATCAAAAGAAAAATATCACTTTAGTGAGCATATGAATAATAAGAAAACTCAAATTTGGAATTTGAACATTGTTTTTTGTTTTTTAACCTGTTTACCCAGCCACTGGATTTTTCAAAGTTCAGGCTTCTACTCTTATTTCAGTAGCACAGATGACAATTTAATGTTAGACCACATGTAAATTTTGATCTGTTTCATGCTTAATTCCTTAAATTACTAAATTAAGATGTAGAATTAAGCCTTGTGATTCATGGTGAATTTTTAAAAGACAAATCATTGTAAGATTGTGTTGTTAATGGTTTTGCAGATTTAAGTTGATAATATATTGAAAAGATTCTGTAGCTTTTCCTGTAACATCCAAGGAAGCTTGTTTGTTTTGACATAAAGTGCCTTCCTATACAAGAAATGCCACATCCAAAAGAAGCTTTAGTTAATATCTCTTACTGAACCAGCAGAGGGAGCACACATTATGTGTTATCCCGTGTCATTCCTGTCTAATTGTTGAGTGTGATTAATTTTGCTGTTTTCATCTTCTAAACTTCTTTCTGCTTACAGATATAATGTTCACAGTTAAGAGTGCTGTGTGGCTTGTGAAATTGTAGTTCAGTAACTATGATTTTTAAGGGTACAGAATATTATACAGTAATTTTCTAAAATTTTCTCTACTGAATGGCATTTGTTCTATACAGAGGATTTTTAGCACTTGCTGAATATTGTATTTGTTTTTTATCTGTAATAATCTTGTTTCTCACACTAGATTGTAAGCTTTTAAAATATTTTTTAAAATTTTATTACTTTATTTTCCCTAGTTACATGTAAAAACAATTTTTAACATTCATTTTAAAAACTTTGAGTTC